TCTCAAAAAAAAAAAAAAAAAAAAGAACCTGTCTGTACAAAAAATAAAATTAACTGCATATGGTGGTGTGCTCCGCTAGTCCCAACTACTCAGGAGACTGAGGCAGGAGGATCACTTGGGCCCAGGAGTTTGAAGTTGCAGTGAACTCTGATAGCACCACTGCACTCCAGCCTGGGCAACAGACTGAGACCCTGTCTCCAAAAAAAAAACAAAATAATTAAAACTACACACTAACACTTCTTATGAATATAGACATAAATATTTCTCAATAAAATACTAGCCAAAAAAAAAAAAAAATCCAGCAACATATAAAAAGGATTATTCACCATAACCAAATGGGATCCCATGAATGCAAGGTTCATTTAACATGTAAAAATCAGTTAATGTAATAATGTCCTAATAGAATACAGTTCAAAAAACACATGATCATCTCAACAGACACACAAAAAGCATTCGACAAACTTCAATACCCCTATTCATGATAAAAACGCTCTACAAACTAGGAATACGAGGGAACTTCCTCAACCTGATGATAAAATAGGTCTAGGGAAACCCCATAACTATCATCATATTTAATAGTCAAAGACTTACTCCCCCTAATACCAAGAACAAGACAGGGATGTCCATTCTTGCCACTTCTACTCAACATTGTACTAGAGGTGCTAGCCAGAGCAATTAGGCAAGACATACAGATCAAAATAGAAAAAGTACAATTATCTCTATTTGCAGATGATATGATCTTTTTTATAGAAAACCCTAAAGAATATGCTAGCAAACTGTTAGAACTAATAAATAAGTTCAACAAGGTTGCAGGATACAAGATCAACATAGAAAAACCAATTGTTTATCTCAATTAACTGTTCAGTCACAGATCATACTCCTTGTTCTATTCTTTCCCCCTTTCTTGGTCTGGCACTTGACTAGTCAAAAAAAAAAAAAAAAAAAAGACTAGTCAAGTACTGTAGTGAGAAGGAGGAAAAGAATAGAACAAGGAGTTCAATCTGTAACTGACTGTGAACAATCGATTGAGATAATTACCTTCAGACCAGCCTTGACTAGTCTTAAAAAAACTGTACTTCTATACAGTAGCAATGAACAATTGGAAAATAAAGCGTAGAAAACTCTATAATAGTATCAAAGAGAATAAAATATCTAGGAATAAATTTAACAAAAGAAGTTTAAAACTTACACTCTAAAAACTATAAAAATTGTTGAAAGAAACTGAAGAGGACCTAACTAAACGCAGGGACACCCATGTTCATGAATGGGAAGACTTAATATTGTTAGGATGGCAATACTCTCCAAACTGGTCTACATATTCAATGCAAAATCTCAACTGGCTTTGTTGCAGAAATTTATAAGTTAATCCTAAAATTCATTTAAAATTGCAAGGGACTCAGACAAAACAATCTCAAGAAAGAAAAGCAAAAAGACTCACATTTTCTGATTTTAAAACTTCCTACAGGCCGGGCACGGTGGCTCACGCCTGTAATCCTCACACTCTGGGAGGCTGAGACAGGAAGATCACTTGAGCTCAGGAGTTCAACACCAGCCTGAGCAAGAGTGAAACCCCGTCTCTACTAAAAATAGAAAAATTAGCTGGGCATGGTGGCATGTGCCTGTAATCCCAGCTACTCGGGAGGCTGAGGCAGGAGAATCACTTGGGGAGTTGGAGGTTGCTGTGAGCTAGGCTGATGCCACGGCACTCTAGGCCAGGTGAGAGAGAGAGACTCTGTCTCAAAAAAAAAAATAAAACTTCCTACGTAGCTACAGTAATCAAGACTATGGTCTGGCAAAAGGTTAAACATATATATCAATGGAATACAATTAAGGACCTAGAAATAAACTCTCACATATAATGATCAACTCATTTTGAAAAGGATAACAAGACAATTAAATAGGGAAAGAAAAAGATATTCTTTTCAAAATATAGTGCTGAGACAAGTAAATTAATTTCCATATGTAAAAGAATGAAATTGGATTCCTATCTCACACCACATATAAAAATTAACTCAAAATAGAGCAAAAGCCTAAATGTAAGAGCTAAAACTATATATAAAACTCTTACACAGAAACATAGGCATAAATCTTCATGACCTTAGATTAGGCAATAGTTTCTTAGCTATAAAGTCATAACATAAGCATGAAGGAAAAAACTGGACATATCAATATTAAAAATTTTGTGCTTCGGCCAGATGCAGTGGCTCATGTCTATAATCCTAGCACTTTGGGAGGCCAAGGCAGGAGGATGGATTGAGATCAGGAGTTCAAGACCAGCCTGAGCAACATAGCAAGATCCCATCTCTACAAAAATAGAAAAATTAGCTGGGCATGGTGGCACGTGCCTGTATTCCCAGATACTTGGGAGGCTGAGGCAGCAGAATCACTTGAGCCTAGGAGTTCAAGGCTGCAGTGAGCTATGATGGTGCCACTGCACTGCACTCCAGCCTGTGTGAGAGTGAGACCCTGCCTAAAAAAAAAAAAGAAAGAAATTTTATGTACAAAATAAAAAGATAAATAACCCAATGAAAAAGTAAAGGATCTGAACAAACATTTCTACATTTACTTTCCATCACCAACTGGCATATTGTATCAAAATATATGCGCAAAAATGTAAATGTTTAGTGCGGCAAGACAAAATTTTTTGATTTAGTGACTTGGAATTTCCAGACCTTTTACCTTATTAAGTTCTTTCCGTACCAACAAAACTTCTCCCATATTTACATCAACAGAAAGGTAATAATGAGGTATAGTTTGCTTTGATTGCATTAATCGCTGTGCAATAACCTGAAACGAAAGAGATTCAAAAATCAAGTATCATAAGACCTTACCTAATTCAGGGCTATGTCTCTTCACCTCCCTCTCTGGTAATGCTTAGCTAAAGCATTACTAGAATTAAAAGATAGAGGACTACACATAACTTAGCACTTTCTGATAGGTTTAACCAGAACCAAGTGATTTGTTTATCCCAAGTATTTAGTCAGCCAAACCAAACTTTCCTTAAACTAATCATCTAATATTCCCAACTGAAAAAGCCTTTGTTAGTGTTTTAAATTATAGATGCAATTAAACAACCAAAGTAAAGATGGCCCCCGTAGCCTTGGTTCCAGATTATGGTAATGCTCTTACTCGACGAATGTTGCTAATTGGGATATCTGTGAAGACACCTGTAGGAACTGGTGCCACTCCTGGACCCAGGGGAGGCACAGCAGCTGCTGGGGCCTATGGGAGGAAAGAAAAAGCTTTTAGTAACTATGGCTAAATCTTAGCATAAGCACCTGGGAAAGACTGCCAGTAACTCTTTTATAGACAGTAAAGTAAAAAAAAGTTTTGTAGATGAAAAGCTATTTCTATCCCCAGAGAGCAAAAAAGACTTGGATTTAGACTGCTTGTTTGAGAGGTTTTTTAAAAATTTTTTACTTAGAATTCTGAAATCATGTTTTAAGTGTTATCTTTCTTTAAGCCAAAGTACATTCAATGACTAGTTTATGTCAAAATAATTTTGTTTTTGCAAAGTTATCTTCACGAAAAGCAATCAAAGCATTCCTAAATTGAAAGGATTAAGAAATAAATACAAACAAGCTAATCCATTATCCTAAACAATGTTAAGGGGAAAAAAGGACAAATCTTTTATTTCAAAGCAAACATCTGAATAACTAAATCATTTTCCTTACCCTTAGCTGATTATCTTAGCAGCTTAAACAATCAAACAAAAGTTAGATATATAAATTGAATCTCTGTGTGGACTGATTAGCCACATAAACCCTAGTCAACCAACTTATAAACACACTTTTAAAAACAGGGGCTCAATAAGAACAAGGATGTGTTAGGAAAAATTCAATATAACTACTCAAAACCTAATTTCGAATTCATGTCAACATAGTATATCATCTCTGATTTTGTATATAAATGATAACACATAAATATATAAATACAGTTGGCTCTCCATATCCATGAGTTCTATATCCATGGATTCAACCAACTGCAAATCAAAAATATTTGGCGGTAGGGGAAGGAATGGTTGCATTTGTACTGAACAGGTAGACTTTTTTTCCTTATCATTATTCCCTTTACAATATAATACAACAACTACTTACATAACATTTACATTGTTTTAGGTATTAAAAATAATCTAGAGATAATTGAAAGTATTCATGAGGATGTGGGTAGGTTATATACAAATACTATACCATTTTATATAAAGGACTTGCGCATCCATGGATTTTGATATCTGAAGGGAGTCCTGGAACCAATCCCCCACAGATACCAAGGGATGACTGTATTGTTAAACCACTAAAATTAGAAAAATACATATGCCTGGTTAAGCTATTTCATTCATAAATAATGTTATGAAGTTGTCTAATAGGCTGAACAAACCACTGTGCAGGTACAAACTGCAAAAAAAAATAGTAAGAACCAAACGTAACTTACAGGAGCAGCTTTAGTAGGCACAAAAGAGTCAATGTCCTTCTTGGTAATTCTACCATCTGGTCCTGTCCCTGGAAAAGATACATAAATATCACATACATGACATCATACCAATGGTTTCCCAAGGAGATCAACAATGTGATGCTGAAGTGTAAGTTCACTAAGCGTTCACTACCAAAAGCACTCTGAAGGGATCACAGTCCTAACCCTGCTCCTTACGGTGCTCCCTGAGAATACCAGCTTTTGTCAATTATTAATTTTAATCCGCACAGAGTACCCTTGCATGATCTGTGGTGGGTCTTGTCTTTTTAACTATCACAAATATTTTTTTTATCTATTTCTCTTTTGGAGTTTTATCTAATTAAGTTGCACTTTTTTTCATCTTCTTTACTTTTAAATTGGGAAATACTGGCATCAGGATAACGCTGAGCAGTTTATACCTCCAGAAGCAAAACCAGCTTCCTCCTCCTGGTTAGCTCCAAAAACCCTTTCTGAACCGTGAAATAGACCTCATTTGGGTTCTGGATTCATTTGACCATAAAGAATTCCCTTTGAACAGGGGGTTGACAGATTAGACAACAATTGTTTTGGACAAATCAGGCAAGTCAGTTTTTTCACCCCAAAAGAGCATGAATAACTCAACTGCCATTATCCCATTTTTAGAATCATTCACAGCCTTCTCACAGTAGCCAAGAGTCTAAACTGGCTCATTTTAGAGACAAGGAAGGAAACAGGTGCAATGTCACACCTGAGAAAGGATCTTTAAAGTTCTCTCAATAGGTTTAATTTTATTTTTACTCAATTTCCTCCCTCCTCTCATCTACAATCTCTTAGGTTCAATTTTAGATCCAAATAGGTAATCCTGACCTTTAATTCTAAGGAGATTGAGAATTTAGTTATTAGAATATCTTTTACACTGGCCCACTTCTAGAAAAAAATTGGTCAAATTGACTCATCTTCCCCCAAGGCATACTTTTAAAGGACTTTCATTGTGTGCAGTTCTTCCCAACTCTTTTCCTTCATTACGAAAACTGAGTTGGCTAGGATTGTGTTTATCCTCACCAGGAGCTCCAGAGGTGGCAGTACCCCTATTAGATTTCCCTCCTTTACATAATATCAGAGAGAAACCATAACATGCCCTTACAACTAAGGCTGATCTAGACACTGCCCAAGCTGGTCTCAAACTCCTGGGCTTAAGCAATCCTCCTGCCTCGGCCTCCCAAATCACTGGGATTAAGCCACTGTGCCTAGCCAGCTCAGAATTTATACTAATGAGGTATATCAAGGCAAGTCCCCTAGAAAGCTTCAGGATAGGGGTCAGCAAAAAAACCAAACAGTCAATTAAAGAGTGAGAACTTTCAGTCTCCTATCCAATCTCTCTCCCATTCCATCCCACAGCTCCTGGGAGGAGAAAGAGACTGGAAATTAAGTTCAATAGCCAATGAGTCGACCAATCATGTCTTTGTATTGAAATCTCTTTGAAAATAAAAATTCTTGAATAGCGAGATTTGGAGAGCTTCCAAGTTGGCAAACATATCGATGTGCTGGGAGGATGGCATGCCCAGAGAGGCACGGAAGCTCTGTGCGCCCCCCTCCCCCGCAATACCTTGCCCTATGCATCTCTTACATTTGACTGTTCCTGAATTGTATCCTTTACAATAAACTGGTAATAGTAAGTAAAGTACTTTCCTGAGTTCTGTGAGTTGTTATAGCCAATCATCAAACCTTAAGACAGCATCTTGGCAACTCCTGATTTACAGCTAGTGAGTCAGAAGTACAGGTGGTCCCCGGGACTTGTGACTGGCATCTGAAGTGAGGGCACTCTTGTGGAGCTGAGCCCTTACACCCGTGGAGTCTGATGCTAACTCTGGGTAGCTAGTGTCAGAATTGAACTGAATTGCTAGACCCCTAGCTGGTGTCTGAGAATTGACTGCTGATGTGGAAAAAACCCTAAACACTTGCTGTCAGAAAATACCACACGATCACTGATACTCTCAGCTCACTTAGTCTAGACCACTCCCTCCCCACACTGCAAAATCTCAACCTCATCAAGTCCTCTACTCCACGGACTACTCTACTCTGATTATCCATTATCTCCCTCCAGTCTTCACTTCCCTCCTTACCCAGCTTATATTCTATGGATTATTGTTATAATCATTCCCTTGCAAAACTCTAAAAAATGTTTACCTTCTCAATGGCTGCACCAGAGTAGCTTAATGTTGCTCGGGGAAAAAAGTAAAGTCAGCTGGCTGGCTGACTGTACTACAAATTCAGAACCACAAACTAAAATGGACACAAAAAATTGCCCAGAAATTTAATTGTTTCCCTCAATTCACCTTCCCAATCTCTGAGAATACTTCTTCTCAATCCGCCTAATGTCAAACCTTCCCTTCCCACACACTCTCTAGCTAATAACCTCACTTGCAATGTTATTGATCAAACGATAGTAACCAGAGATGACAGGATATCTCCTTGTCTTCCACCACCAAACCTATAAACCTATCCTATATTCTCTCTTTTCCTATAAAAATACATAATATGTCCTTAGTTTCTATCAAAGGCCAATCCTATCTCTTCCTAGATTCTCAAGAACTTGGTTCCTTGCCAAATTATCCTGCCTTTAATCCCCTTCTGCATCATCAATTTATCTCTTTCTATCAGACCACTGACTCAACCAGGGCAATTTTGCCCCATGGGACATCTGGCAATGTCTGAAGACATTTCTGGTTGTCCTGAGTGGGGACTGCTACTACGACCTAGTGAATAAAGGCAAAAAACTTTGCTAAACATCCTCTAATGCACAGGGCATACATACGCCTCTCAAAAAAGAATTATCTGACCGAAAATGTCCAAAGTGCTACAGCTGAGAAATTCTGTACTAGATTCATTCTACAACAACTCATCTTCAAAAGCCTTCCCTTGAGTCCACATCCCCCTTAAGCTACACCTTTTTCTATGCCTCTCTTCATAGCAAAGCTTCTTGAATGAGCTCTTCACAATGCTATCTCCACTTCTTCACCCACTTTTCAACCCACTTTTTTCCAGAGTGGGTTCCAGAGTGAGTTTCCCCCCCACCTTTCTTCCGAAATTACTGTTGTCATGTCCCCACATCCGATCCTTGACTATATTCTGTTGATTCTATGTAAAAAAAAATGTATCTTGAAGCTGTCCATTTCCACTTTCACCACCCTTGTCTAAGCCACCACCATGAGCTCCAGCAACAGCATCTTAACAGATGCTTTGGCTTTCATTTAATCCACTTTTGCAGAGTAGATGATCTTTTAAAAATATAAATCATTTTATTTCACTTCCTTGCTTAAATTTTTCAATGGCTTCCTGATGTACTCTAAATAAAATTCAAACTCTTTGTCATGACCTATAAAGTCCTTTATGTTCACATCCCTGTGTTTCTTTCCAACCTCATCTCCTACCCCAGACCCTCTGCTCCATTAACAGTGGCCTCCTTTATGTTTCCCAAATGCTAAGCTCTTTTTCACTTCAGATTGTGTACTGCTGGTCTCTGTGCCCAAAATGCTCTTTCCCCGGCTCTTCACATGGTTGGGGCTCAAGCTGACTGCTTCTCATCTTTCAGATCAAATGTCACCTCACCAGAAAGATCATCCCCCAACCTCCCTGTCTAAAAGCAGTCATGAATGCACATATATCCATTCACCCTGTCGCTCACTAGCATATCATTGAGTTACTTTCTTTCTTAGCACCTAAATCATCTTATTAAATAAAACAATTATTATCTTTATAGCTAATGTCTAGATATACTTACTCTATGCAGCCACTGTTTATTAACTTATTTAATCCTCACTTCTAAGATATTATTTTTACATACAAATGAAGAAACTGAGACACGAAAGGAAACATTGCTAGTATATGGAAGAGCTGAGGTTCAAATTCAAGCATTCCAGCTCCAGAGCCCACACTCTTAACTACTATGCTATATTCCCTTTCATTTAATTCTTTATTGTTGGTCACATAAGCAAATGAAACTGAAATCTTATCCATCTGATGAAAAAGTGTCTGACACATAGATAGTACTCAATGAATATTTGTGTTTAAGCAATAATAAATAAATCACCTAACTGCCTTCATGGTAAGAATAGTGGGATTTTTTTCCTCTTGTATCTTTAGTAAGGTAGCCAATGTTTTGCTAAATATGCAATAAATGGTCCTTCTTTACTTGTCTAAACTCTTCAGATGTAATTATTAACTCAGTCCTTCCTCCCTTTAAAAATTATTCCAACTTACATTGCTGTCCCTGATTCTAGTCACATAAAGAATGGCAATATACTAGTAAAATAACATTAAAATGGAAAAAAAAAAGTATCTTCCAATATTACAAGAATCCTCTGAATTCCAAAATATTTACAACATTCTATTCTTTTGTGTTACGCTTGGCTTGCCTTCTAACCACAAAAATGTAGGCTGCAGACAGATGTTAACCAGCACTGGGTGCCCATAGCTGGACAATTGGGGAAATAACCATATTTTTCTTTATGGCTGGCAGAGCATCAAAACAGAAGGCAGCAAAGGTAGTGGGAATAAAACAGGCTTTAGAGTTAAACAAATCTAGATCCAAATTGCCACTTTACTACTTAACAGGAAGGAAGACCTGAGAAGTCTGTTTTCTTATCCAAAAAATAGAGAATGAAATTCTTACTTCGAGAAGCACTGGGCATATTAAATGTGGTTAGTAAAATGACTAGCTTATAGTACTAGCCATCAAACCAGGTTCAAAAAATAGTAATTTCTCTCTTTTTTCAAATAAGTATCTTAATTACATTAAATTTTAGCTTAAGTTTAGTTCAAAAACACTAAGTGCCATGCAATAACAATATGAATGACAATATGTATTGAGTATTTATTATATGTATTCAACAGATACTAGATACTGTTCTCAGTACTTTGCCTGTTAACAGCTCATTTAATTCTCGTAATTCTATGATACACACTACTATCTCAGTTTTATAGATGGAAAAAACAGATAGCTTAAGTAATTGATCTACAGACATATACAATTTAAGTAATTCACCTAAAGACATATTATTAACACACAGAAAATGGTAAAGCCAGGATTAAACCCTAGGTGGTCTGAATTCAGACCCCATGCTCTTACCACTAAGCTATACTTTTTCTTTGGGAAGAAAAAGACAAGGCATTTCCCCTTTCCTTCAGGGAGCTCTAGTTCAGTTTTATATGAATTTTATTATTTTAAGTCATTTCAAATCAACCCATGTTTCATTTTGCTTTGCTTATTGTTACAGTCAGCCTAGCACTAATAGAGATTTCTTATTATGCAATCAAGTCCTATAACCCAACTTTGCTGAACAAGCATATATATTTTCACCAACAATTAAGCAGTTATTGCAAACAAAGGAGAGTGAGAGAAGGTGTCTAAATTGCATAGGTAGAACCTAGGCAGCCTAAATAAAGCACGGTAAGTTTCCCTACTCCGTGGTGGCAACAAGGGAGATATTTCCCTCCCTTCAGATAAAATTATTAACCCTTTCCCCTACTATCCTAGTTAAGACAACTATATACAGTTGCACTAGCTGGTCTTAAGGAAGAAATTGAACTAAATTTTGACTTTACAACCCCATTCCATAGAAACAGATTTACCTTTTACTTGAGTAAGGTCAATCCCTTTCTCTGCAGCCAACTTCTTTGCAAGAGGGCTAACAAACACCCTTCCCTTTGGGCCAGCAGGAGTAGCTGGGCAGGGGGCTGAAGGAGTAGGGGTTAAAGGTTGGGGAGATGGAGGAACAGTGGCCACCTTTTGAAAAAAATTACAAATTGTTAATTCACCAATTCAAAGATTGGTCTGAAAAACTGCATTTACGTTTTATTAAGAAATTAAAGCTGTTGTAAGTAAGTATCTTTCATCTTTTTTCCAAAGATCATAATGCACTTTTTTCCTGCTTAACCAATACAACATAGCAATATGAATAACAAGAATAATACTTTACGTCAAAGAACAAAGTCAAGTTATCTTATTTCATGGTAACAGGGAGAGGCATGGAATTTAATACTTCTGACCAGTTTATAGTAGCTTCACAGAATTTCTTCACTTTAATCTCTTGCTACTTCTTTATTTTCATTCTCTTATATCACCATCATGGTTTTGGTTTTTACTTAATTTCAAAATTTAAAATTATGCTGGAAGGTCCCATGTTGCAAAGTATCTCAGGAAATAAACCAACACTGCTACTTGCCAGCTTCCCATGAACACAGAACAGTCAGAAATCAAGTTTTCTCAGATAGAAACATGTACCTAGTTTAAACTCAAATGATTCTAGTATCTGCAGAAGCTTCATGGAACTGTTACCTATGCTTGGAGTTAATACAAGTTCATATTATAGGTAGATAGTATATACTACAAAGTACATGGCAATATACTAAATTCTGTGCAAAACAAGTTATGTTATGTCGAGGTTTCAATTTTGCAAATATATGCTTGACCTACTATAATATTGTAAATACGAAGAGAATTAAAAGATATTATATAGTAAATTCAATAAAAAATGGGGAATGAAGCCTTACCTTCCTAAAGCAGAAAGAAAACATGTCACCTCAGTTTTGTTCTCAGCAGGACTCAAGACAGCAGTGGGGAAAAAAAGCTACAAGCATCAAACTATCGGTGATTAGGTTAATGGTGTGGTGCAACAAGCCCTATAGTCTCCCCAAATGTTAACGAACTATCTCCATCCTCATTCATGGAATCTTGGAGATGGAAGGAACTTAGGATACCAACTAATCAAAACCCATTAGAGATGAACAAGATAAGTGTTTCCTCAATTCTAGAAGCATACTTACTGGGGGTGGGGTAGGTGGTGGTGCTTGTGGTTTTAAATCTGTTACTTCAGTTGGCCTATAGTCAGCAAATGCTGCTATATCTGCCTCTTTTTCTACAATGATACAAAGTGGAGTTCCTAGAGGGACATCTCTTGTGCCTTCAGGGATCAAGATTTTTGCCAGATAACCTTCTTCCTGTACTTCAAAACCTTAAATAGAAAGAAAAAAACATTGTGGGACTTAAAAGACTTTACTATCCCTTCAAACCCACAGCATAGTTTTAAGTATTAATAAAAGGATTTTTCTCATTCAAGCTAGCTATATAATTTTTTTGCAAGCTATTTAACTTCTCTGTGTCTTGGTTTCTTTACCTATAAAATGGAGATAATAATAGTACTGACCTCATAAGGATGTTATAAATTTAAATGAATATTTTTCAAGTACTCAGAAACAGTATCTGGTACAAATTAAATACTAAATAAATATGTGTTAAATAAAACTGTGAACGATCCCAGCGGTTAGTTCTGCAAAGTTGTTATTAAAAACATCTCCATGGGCAGCTCCCATGCACACTCACAGAGCCCCAAGATGGTGTAAGTTATACTGCTAAAGATCAGAACCACATGGATATCAAATTCAGGAAACCACCAAGCTGGAGAGTGATACGAGATTTCAGCCCTAAAAGCACCTTTGGAGGTTTTCAAAGAGATTATACTTGATATTATACCAAATACTTCAATGTGAAGAAATACAGCATTACTGGGTTTTCTATGGTGTTGACAAATTTTATTCAGTTACTGCCTTCCTTGAAAGGAACTCAGGGTTGCAAAAGTAAAACTAAAACAAAGAAAAGGTCGTTAAAGAGGACAAATTTTGCCTTCCAGACCTTGACTTCCTGTGGTGTTGTGCCTCTCTCTGATGAACACATCTTTGATGAATCCTTCCATTTCTCAGTTGAGAATTAATACCCAATAAGATATATGTTTAAAAGGAAAAGGCTCCTGGGCCACAATAGAATCTAAAGAGTTTAACCAAGGTAGTGACTAGAGTCACTACAATACCAGTACCTACAGTGACACTGGTATTCAAGTATAAATAGGGAAACAGATCTGTTTCCAAAGTTTTTGTTTTTTTCTTTTTAAGAAACAGAATCCTTCCAATAAAATCTTATGGGGAAGCACAATATGTAAAAGATAAAAAGGAACTGCTCTGGTGGAAATGGGGAAGAGGGCAGGGCACTGCAGGGTCCTGCTCTTTAAGTCCCCCATTACCCCAAGGTGCCTTCAAGAAATGATAGGGTTTGAAGAGCAAGTAATGCTGAAAACAAGTAATGCAGAGGATGCCCAGAATCTCCCACTACATCTCTGGGGAATAGACAGCCCTCCCTTTAAGGGTGATTATGAAGCAAAGGGAAGAAATTCATAATATCTACAAATATCTGTAAGTATCATAAATATACATATGATTGTCTATGTAGGTTTTATTACTGAGAATAAAAATGAATTAAAAATGGGGTACGTAGCAATGTGGTATGATATCTGAACATATATACATACACATTCTATCAGTCATTCTCAAACCACGAAAACGATCTAAATCCTGGTTTCAGCGTTCCCTCAAAGTCTTTGCTATTTTCCTTCCTTGGAGGTGATTTTCTCCTATTTCCTCTTTCCTTCCTCTGCCCAGTTTAGCCAATGGCACTTCTGATAAAACTTCTCAGTAACATAATAAACCTAGGAAGCAAACTCTGGCCTAGAATAATCTCTGAGATGATGTATCCTTGATTCAGTGAGTGCAGTATGGAACTGAAAAATCTGACTATGCATATTTTTGTTACAAAATATTCTGCTTCAGGAAATGAATCCTAAGAATTATAAAGTTTTCATATTATCACTCACTCTTTACAAGAAAGAATGGCAATTCTCTTCCTCATTGGAAAACTCAGTGCCTCAACCATTAAGAAGTGAAGAAATCTCACCTATAGTGGCTTTGTCAGTCTCTATCTCTGCCAATAAGTCTCCTTCACTTAGCTTCTCACCCACTTTTTTTTCCCATCTCTGAACTGTGCCCATGGTCATGGTGGGAGAGAGGGCAGGAAGAAGTACCTATAGAAGCAAATACGTATTATTGCTTAATACTCAGAAGACTTGGACGCAACAGCACTCAGGCAGGCTACATAGCTTCACAGAATAACAGTTACTGTGACAATCCAAATACCCACCACAGCAAAAGTTTAGTGCCTCAATAGCTTCTCACCAGTTAAATTATCCTTCGAATCTCAAGTCTGTATAGTATCAGCCGTACTCTAACTCTCCAAGTTAAAAAGCAATGGGCAGGTGGAAAAGATTTCTCTCAGTCAAAATTAATTCCTCAATAAATAGCTAAGCACTGACTGGGCATGGTGGCTCACACCTGTAATTCTAGCACTTTGGGAGGATTGCTTGAGCCCAGGTGTTCAAGATCCTATGTCTATAAAAAATTTTAAAAATTAGCCAGGTATGGTGGTGCGTGCCTGTAGTCCCTGCCACTTGGGAGGCTGAGACAGGAGAATTGCTTAAGCCCAGGAATTTGAGGTTGTAGTGAGTTATGATGATGTCACTGCACACTAGCCCAGGCAACAGAACAAGACCCTGTCTCAAAAAAACAAACAAATCACAGTGCATCTTTTCATCTTTTTTTAACCCAGAAATTTTTCACTTTCACAGAATAATCTTGGTCCAAACCATTCTGTTAAAATTTTGCTGTGCTCTGTACGTAGCATCTCTCTTTTTACTCAGAGCAAACTGCATTTGTTCCACACTTCCCAGATAAAAAATACTAAGAATTGCTCTTTGGCGATTGTAGTTAATAACAATGTAATGTACTGTATTCTTAAAAAGTGCTAAGAGAGTAGATTTTAAGTGTTATTGCTAAAAAAAAAAAAAAAAGAAAAAAGTATGTGAGGTCATGCATATGCTAATTAGCATGATTTAGCCATTCCACAATGTATACACATTTCAAAACATATTGTACACAATACAGAGAATTTTCAATATAGAATTTTTGATAAGTAAAAAAAATTAATTTTTAAAAATAAAATTAAAAAAATACCCTGTTCTTATAATAGTCACTTCTAAACATCAGATTAGCTGATCTAAATTAAAAATTGCTCTCCTATTTATGGCTTATGTGTCCACCGAATTTGGTCATTCAGTTATTATGGATTGAGTCTGCTGTCTTCTTTTGTAACCAATTAGCAACATTATGTTAAGAGAAAAATAATTTGGATTAAAGATGTTTCCGGAAGGGGGGCAAAAAGTAAAACAAGCCTTAGAAATTTTTTAAAAATTCTTTTTTTGTTCAGAATTTATCTTCATCTGCATGTTAAGAATTAGTAGAATCAATTCTCTATACAGTATCTTAAAGGATAATTAAGGTACAACCTTAACACATGCACACAAAAACCACAGGCATAAAGTGGCAAGAAATGAAGTAAGTTTTATGTAGTGAAACAAAATTTGTTGAACAGGATGAAATAAAAGTGTGAACTGAATACCAGGCAAAACTTCGTCATAAGTGATTATTACTTATAGACTATGGAGTAGAACATTATTTCCAAAGTAGAAAAAGATTCCTATACAGAAATTTCTATGAATAAACTAAATTAAGGGAAAATTCTAGTCTGAACTCTTTAAAGGACAGCTGGTTTTTTATCCACGTTCCACATCTAAAACACACAAATATACATAGGATAGCTCTAATATCTAATAAACTGATTTAGTTTCTTAGAAACTGATTTAGTTTGTAGAATCAACAGTGATTACATTCACTGCCTTCAGCCTTGTTGCAATGCTATTATGTATGTCTATTCTACACTTAATCTTTATTGTCAGTTTTCTCATTTATTAATACTACTGGACTACTTCACTCACTTTTAAAAAACAGATCACATGTCAAATGAAAACACCAACTGGGGACTTCCATTCAACAGACTACACTTGAGGCCTACCATAAACTCTACCTGCACAGCGAGTAGATATACATAAAAATCATCCTCAAAATCTGTAACATAGTGTTCCTGAATGAGAAGTGCCAAGCACTATCCTGTGTACTACACTGAGTCTGAGAAAGGTTAAAGAAACTGTTCAAATTCACATAATTAGATATGACAACTAGGACTAAAAGTTGTCAATTTTCATGTTTAAATCTCTATAGACTCCCGAATGACAAGAGCTAACCATATTTAAGTCAGTTTCCAGGCTGTGATAGCCATCTATGAAAAAAATAAATAAATAATAAATCATCTAGACCAAAAACTCAGAGGCTGAGCCTCACCTGCATGTGAGGGGGATATGAGCTACCAGGAGGCTGAGCAGGTGTAGGTGGCGAAGCAGCAGCAGGGGTTGGTGCTGGGGCTGCTTGTGGGGGAGGTCCTGCCGAAGAGTCCAACGTATAATTTTTAAAGGCCTCAATATCCTCAGGTCTAAGGAAGAGAAAGAATGCATAAACATAAGGGAGTTATAAAGCAGATTCAGCTCCCACAAAAGTAGTCTTCAAAAGTCTTTAACTGCTAATTCTCAATTCTAGGTTAAAATATTCTACAAATTATGAGGGTATTACTCACTTTCCAACTGTGATACAGATGACTGCTCCAACTGGAACATCTCTGGTACCTTCAGCAACAAGTATCTTTGCCATATAACACTCCTCCAGGCTCTCAAATCCAACCGTAGCTTTATCAGTTTCAACCTGTTAACACAAAAAGCAGCAGCTTGGGTTTGCACCGCCAGTAGGTAGTTGATTAACCTGTATCTAGAATTATATAGTTCAACAGTCACCAGAAGCCTCCATCACAGATTTGAGTGAAGGAATTATTTTAAAATATCAGTTTGGCCATCTGCCCACAATTTACCTAACCGATATTCTCTAACATCAAGTTGTGAAAAACATCTCAAATTTCCTAAGCAAAGGGACAACTACCCCCATCCACAAAACTAAGGTTCAGTCAGTTCAGCAAAGCCAGTCGCTTTGAATTCATCTCCATATTTTAATGAAACAACTTACCTCTGCAATTAGGTCACCCTCATTGATTTTTTCCCCCTCTTTTTTTTCCCAACGGGCTATGGTACCTGCCTGCATTGTGGGGGAAAGAGAAGGCAATGGAACCTGGAGAAGTAAAAGGAAAAAACGCTGAATTTTAAAAGGGTTGCCTAACTCTCAGTCTGGCTTAAGATTTCATTCAATTCAATTTCACGCAAAGAGTTTATTGAGTCCCATTACACACTGGGCCCTGGGGATATAAAGGGAGTTCCTGCCTACGAAAAGTTCATAATTTCCAGTGACGGGCTTCTTCCTCCACAGTCCTGTGGGTCTGACAAAGCACGAACTTCAGATGTTTTGCATACGCCCTTTCCAAGAAGAACTGGAGCTCTTCTTTCAATGGAATAGATCATGAGCGGGAAGCTCAAGAGCTACAGCAAAGCTGAGAATTGGACAAGGGGCAATGACAGACACTAGGAGGGGCTGGAGGATCACAGAGGCCTCTGAAAGAGGAGCCTGCGGCTAAGACTGCCCTGAAGGACAACAGGGTCCCGAAGACGGGTCGGGGGCTCACCTTCTGATGCGGGGGGAGACTGTAACAGCGGCGGCTGGTCGATCCCAAAAGCTGCAGCAGTAAGTGGTTCCGCGACGTGATCCCAGAGCTGGGGGTCCAGCCGCACAGTGCCCGGATCCCACCATACCCTGTGCTCACGCTATTGCAACGAACCGGAGCCGGGACAGATCGCGGGGTCACACATGGAGCTTCCGGTCCCTCCCGCAAGGCCGTCCACCGAGCCCCAAGTCCTGTCCTCGGGGCTACATTCTGGGCCCCTCGAGCACAAACGCGCCACATAGTGCCACCAAACCCCCACACCCCAAAACCAACGCCGTCTCCGGAGTGACCTCTCCAAGAGCAGCGCAGCGTTGCCGTCAGCCACGCCGCGCAGCCGCACGTTGTCGTAAAACGGACCTCGAAGATTCACTCGACTCCCTCCCCAGGCTAGAACAGTGCGGCGAGTAGCTCTTCCTCTGTGGAGGGTCAGGGGACACCCAAAAAGGCAGGATCGTCCCAGCAGAGCCAAAGCAGGCGCAAGTTTGGGAGAAATAAGAGGCGGAAAGGGGTAGAAAGGGGGAGGGGTCCCACGAAAGGCATTCCAAAGGGTAAAAACGGGGCCTAGATGTGAAGGGCTCGACCGAAAAGGGAGGGGCCTAAGAATGCGCAGAGGCGCGGGCTAATAGCGGCAGAGTGAGCTGAGAGTGGGCCGAGGGGAGTGGCCAAGCGTTAAGGAGCAGCTGGGAAGTGAGCTAGGGGACTGGCTGGCAGTGGGAGCCTTTGGCCAAGGCGTGGGGTCTTGGAGCGCTCCGGTGGAGAAGGGAGCTAGGAGCCACCGGCGGTGGAATCGAAGGGTTCAGGTGATGTGCCCTCTACTTCTTTGGATCCGAAAGTGACCGGGTTTGGGGCCCCGCCCAGGCTGTAATGGGTTACAAAGATTAATTTCAGGTTTGTAGTCCAACCGGCCTGTGAAGTGAACGAGTGTTCCAGCCAAGTGGTGCGAAGGGCAGCCAAGGGGAAGATACATTCCCACATTCTGGTGTACTGCAGCAGGATTAAGCATATTCCCTGTATGAAAACACAGGTTTGCAAAAGAGATGTTATCCCCTAATTTACAATAGAATTCTTTTAAATAACCAAAAGCTTTGTTATGTGTGAAATTTTTCCTACCAAAACTAAACTGTAAGCAGTTGAAGGCAGGAAGCATGTCTGTTCTGTGTATCCCCAGAGTTTAGTACAGTATCTGGTAAATAGAGGGGCCTGATTGTATGTCTTTTGAATTAATGAACGAAAAGTTACCTACACAATTTATTAGAAACGGCTCTATTGTAGCATCATCATTTTATAATTAGAAAACATCATTTCTGAGCTGAAGGTGACATTAGATTAGGAGGAAGCATGTGCTATATTTATAATACATCACCCAGTCCCGGTTGGAGATGGCCAGAGAATACCAAAAACACAAGAAAATGGAGGAAAAACATTAAAACAAAATTTGAAAACATTTAACTTTGCTAATAATTAATTTGGAAAGTTAAACAGCCTGGAGATACTATGTGATAGCTACTTAAATTGGAAAAGTTTAAGCAGGCACAGGTGCCTAACAATAATGTAGGCAATGTAATTAAGAAATATAAAATTTCCAGATTAAATGAAAAGGGACACTTGAAATAATATGAAGAGAAGGGCAATTATATTGTTACAGTTATGTAAAATTCATGTGTTAACTATTGGAAGAAGCAATGGAAGACTAATTGTGATTAAAGGGTTTATATTACAACTTTATAAATTATTACAGTTTTAACTATTGAATTTAATAACCGGATCTAAATTAGCCTTTGATACAAAGTATGAGGTGCTCTGCAGGATCTGCTGTTCACGTAGGTAGGCTTGCTTAAACCTTGTTTAGCATTTTTCAAAGAATAGTGACTTTGTATTTTGAATATAAGTTTGACTTAGGTGTAACTAAATTACAGGAAGGCATAGCTGGAAATAGTCCAGGTATGGTAAGTTTACCCCAGAGTTAGGCTAGGAATTCTTAGGCTTGTCAAATCAATCCTGAGAGAATAAGCCTGAATACCCCTGAACAGATTGGATAAAGAAAATTAAGGAAAAGGAAAATTCAAGACTCAAAGGTTTGAAGCAGAGATACTTGTAGAGTGGAGATATAAAGTGGGTTGATGGAAACAGAAATTAGTTGGTAGTGAAAGATTTTGAGTTAAATTTTGTCCATACTTAATTTTAACATAATGGTGGGATAGCCAATTAATAATAGTTGAAAATGTATAATTGGAAGTCAAGTGAAAGCATTCAGGGCTAAACAATTAGATATAGCAAACATTAAATTGAAGTGATAAATGAAGCCTGCTTAAGTCTGGGGGAGGCAGCTTTCAAATTAATCGGGGAATTCTAGTTCTTTTAAATACACGTTTCTTTTTTTGCATTAGAGACTGTTGTCACAGAGTTTACACTGGGGTTCTTATTTGCACATTTGCATATATTTTCACAAGAAGTGCTAAAATTAATTGTCCTTGGTAATAATAGCCTATTTTGTGCTTACATTGGAAATACCAATAGTAAAAAAATATCTGTAGCAATAAAGTAATCTTTTATCTCCATTCTCCACATAATGAGTAAATATGCTACCAGGGAGATCACTTGAGGAAATTTACTTTCACTAAAGGTAAATGGCTTTACTGATTAATCTCAGTCAATAAAACACAAGTGAAAATGATTAATGGTATTTAGTTTGCAAACTCCATTTTATTCATAGTTTGTGTGTTTTTTGTAATTATTTCACAAATCTGGTACATACAGGCAGTTAAAACTGGTTATCACTTTGATAATCAGAAGCCTCTGGTATCGTACAGTCTTCATGAAAACACTGTAAAACAGGGAGAATACACAGTAATAACCTCTTTGAAAGCAATAGCTGCGAACATCCATGTTTCTAAGAAAATATAACTTTACATATATATGTATTTTAAGCAAGCTATACCTCTTACATAAATTCAGACAACAGAGGGAGTGTGCAATCATAATGCTCGTTTTATGGGAAAAAATGAAAATAATTTTAATTATGACCTAAATGCTTTTAAGAGAGTCCTCTTGGATTGGATGCAGAAGCATAAAGATATTTTCCCTAATTTACAACCATCCTGGTCAAAAAGAGTTGAAAAGTTGGTCAGTAAGTAGGATTGCTATTACCAAGTGAATTTAACCCAAATTCTTTAGGTACAGATCGTAAAGTGTTCCAATCCCAGCTAATTTAGAGAATTGAGCAAGAAGAGAAGAGTCTTCAGTTTTTAAATGAAGGCTTTTTAAGGAATTGAACTCTTGGCTTGTTTTTATGAGTGTCATCTTCTTTAACCTAACATGGTTTAGAGCTTATTTTATCCACTCTAAGCATTCTAGTTCCTTAGTTTTCTCAAGGAAAGTGAACTTCAGCAGTCTCAGGATAGACTATCCCACGCCAATGCTACTAGGGGACAATACTATGAACATGTCAGGAGGCCTTCTAGAGTGCAGCCAAATAGGAAACTATTCGAAACAGAATGAATCACGGCATACTCTTGCTCAGAAGGCTCCTCTCACTTTAGAAACTGGAATGAGGATCACCAACACATTTTATACAAGAGTTACTGGAGTGACATGCTCTAGTAGGGATGTTTAGTCATTTCCCATGGTACATGAGATTCATGAGCTAAAGGGGAAAAAAATAATCACATTCTCCCCCTGAACTCAACTTCAGCTTTTTACAGAGGCACTGATGCCATGCAGCTCCTTTTCCGAAAGATACAGAGACAAAAGACAAATAAAGTAGAGGACTTGGAAAATTTTTTCTGATTTAATTTTCTCTGAAAAGTTGAATTCCACATAATGGTAAGACTTTGCTAAAAGAAAACTGATTTAAGAGACAGACATTCAAGATAAATCATACTGGAAATACAATAATGGATTTTGGCCTGATAGCCCTCATGCTGTCTTATAGCAAAACACTAAAATTCATGCAACAGAGAAATTGGTGACATGAGGACTTTTTCTCCAGACTTCCTAGGAAAAAACTGAGAATATATTATTTTCTTCTGTTTGCTTTCATAATGACTTATTCTTGCTTTTGGTTGACTTTCCCAAACTTTTCTCGTCACTCCTGATGAAAAATCATTCTTCAATAGGAGAAAACCAGCTAAACTTACATAAAAGAAATCAAGTGTCTTTTGAGTTCCTTCTCTCTGCTAGAGGAGCAATCAACTGGATTACATAAAACTACCACCACAACTAAACAGCACGTAGAACTGGAACAGGAATTAGTTGTCATTAGTATAGTTGTAATAAAATAAAGCTTGTTCTGAAACCACAAGGGGTGGTAAGAAGAGACTGTATAAAAGCTACTGGGTTCTCTAGAAAATGGATACAGTATACAGAATGTGAGAATATATAGAACTCACACTCGAGTTATAAAAATAGACATGGTTCTCAGACAAAAAGCAAATGAGTACAAAAGAAGTCTCCAAACATAACTATTTTTAAAAGACACATCTATATAAAACAACAAGATGTCGTCCTCTCAGAGCTCCAAAGAGTAGTTTGTTGAAATGGCTAAAAAGGAGAGATGAATTGGAGACAGACAGGTCAAGAACCCAGAACTGATCTGTCCTACTCTTGTGTTTGGCAGTGTACATTGGAGATTACAGGCAGACTGCTTTTGGGATTATGTATATAAATAATAACGGCTGATTGGTTGATGGTGGTTGGTAGGTGAATGAGAAAACCCAGGTTATTAAGTAATCTCTGGAGTTGAACTCTTTTAGCTTCTACACTTGACAATGTTACACATGAAAAAAGATTCTAAGTTTTTTCACCCAGAATCAACCCTGCCATTGTAAGTCATGCTCCATGCCCCATGGTTTCTATTGTGCCCTAAAGGATCAGCCTAGACTATATAAATAGAAAGTAACTCCAGCCTTGAAATGAGGAGGGACAGACCAGTTATTCATGCTCAGTACTCATAAATCACAAAGAAATACTGAAATCAATAGTCTGTCTCCTTTTAACCACAAAGGAGATGCCATGAGTTAAAGTCATGAGACAAATAAAGTCAAGATGTGGGTAGCAGCACCTTTCCATACCCGCCTGGATTTTTAAGGAGCCTTTCACTCCTTATTCCTTTCAAACACAAAGTTCATCAACTTGAAGAAAAAGAAATGGCTCTAAAGTTAAAGAGTCCCCAGAGGAAACTAGCAGTACATGAAATAGGCCCTATGTGGGCTAAAGGACAAGCTGTAGAACCAGTTAAGACAGAAGAGGCAGCCCAAGGTCTTAATTACAGTTTTAGAATAGTATAGCACAATATGGGCAGCACTTTTTCCATCCAATCAACAATTCAGCACCATCCATGTCCAGTTCGAAAGATTACTGAAGAGTGGGCTTTCATCTTTGGTACCACCTCATGAGTTATTCTTGGTTTGCAATAACTGCAAAGAAACAGGAATGGTGGTACCTTTGCCTTGTCTGTAAGCACAAATGCTGGGACTCTGATTGATGCAACCATTGAGGCCAATTAAAATAATACTGTAATACAGGAGTGATGCATCCAATT